TTTCAGAGACTTTTCTGAAGAAGAGGCAGCATGATCTGCACCTAATTGGGTCACCAATTTTGTTTTATAAATGTCCTCCAGAGTGTTTTTTTGGATCATAGTGATCCTTTAAATGAGTCTGAGAACAAACTGCAATAAATAACCCATAAGTATCAATCATCATCACTGTGCAGGATGTTCTAAACTGAAATAATAGATTAGTTGTTAACACCAGGCTTTTACATGACCTTATTCTCTGCCACTGGCCCTATCTGCAGCCTGCTGTTTCTGCCATTTTCATTTGCCAGACCTTAGGAGCATTGTCCAAGTATAAACAATACAGGCATAAGTTCCAACAACAGGAACTTATGCCTGTGGCCCTACTCTTCTGTGTTGATGGGTCACACATGCAGAGGGCCCTTTGGCTCAAATGTTGGTTTGCGCAAAATTAGTGCAAGAAACACCTTTTGCATATGCCCTTTGATAGGGAGAGGCCTCTTTGGTGAATGCCTGGAAAATTTGATCAAGGATGTTACTGGGGGAAAAGCAGGCTAAGCCTTAGAATGGATAAGCTCTCTTTGCAATGAGGGGCAGCTTATCAGAGTAGGGGAAGCCTGTTGCACTTTCCAGCCTCCTTTGGGGCTACAAGCTATAATTTTGGTCTTTAACGCCACCGCATTTAATATTGCCAAACCTGCCAATGTCCACACAGAGACTAGAAGACCTCTATGCTGGTCTGCTGTGGCACAGCTCTTCTTCCTGTTCTGGAAAAGAAATGTTTTCCAGGGTTTCTACTCAAACCTGTTTACAGTCCCAAAGCAAAAGGGGGCATTTGCTCCACTCTGGAACTATAGGTTCTTAACACCTTTCTTTGGGTACAGAAATTCTCCAAAATCTGTAATTGCTTCGCTTTGTACCGGAGACTTTCTGGCCTCTGCAGCTATCAAAGATTCCTACTTGCATGTCTCTATCTTATCTGCACATCTACACTTTCTGCCTTTTTCAATAGGCCAATAGTATTTTCAGTAGGCCCATAGTATTATCAGTTTGTCCTCTTTGGTCTATCCAATGCACTTCAGGTTTTCACCTAAATGCAAGCCCCTGTATTTCCTCTGCTTTGATCTTGGGGCATTCCCATAGAGGGATACCTGGATGACCTTCTACTGAAGGAGCAGTCGGCACAGACTCTGTCGGTCAATGTCCAACTAACTGTTCAAACTCTGCAGAGGTTTCAGGTGGATCTTTAACGTCTCTAGAAGTCGGTGCCTTGTAACGGATTCATCTCTTGGAGTATATAGCCCTTCACCTAGATTCTGCTCTGTCTGGGGTCTTCCTCCCAAAGGAAAACGTCTCCACTGTCATGTTTGCAGGCTACAGTCCAGGAGCCAACCAATGCTCCGCTTTTGCATGAGGTTTCTGGGCTTAATGGCAGCCTCTTTTAACTGCCTCCGGGCCGGCCGTAGTAAAAAAACGGCCGACCAGGAGCTCTCTCGATCTGAGCGGGCGTCTCTAGACGTCCGCTCAGACACCCCCCCTTGCGCGCGCGCGCGCTCGAGCGGGAAATGGCCGGAATTTAAAAACGGGCAGCGATGCCCGTTAATATACATGTGTGAAGCAAGGATGTTCTATCCCAGGAAGTACTCTGTGAGACAACTCCTGTCTTTTCTCCGGTCTGGCCTGGATCAAGAGTACGATCAAGAGTCAAATCCTGGCCCCATCTTCTTTAAAGAGCACTTGCCTTCTTAGTGAAAGCCTTTGTACAGGAGGTTGCTTACATTGATCCCCCTCTGCAGTCCCCTGTAACTCGAGGAGATGTCAACATTGTTCTGAAAGTTTTTCAGAAACTGCCCTTTAAACCTGTAACGGGATGTTTCCTCTTCCTCATCGCCATCACTTTGGCAGGCGAGTTTCTGAGTTGGTTCTTTATGCCACCTTAACAAGCACTATGTTCCCCCATCTTTATGTCCTGCTGCGCGACATCCCAAGGAGATTTTCCTCCACTGCCTAGAGGTGGTACATACTGTACTACCTTGCAGCTACAGCTTCTGTTAGACAGACCAACTTCCTTTTTATCATTCCTAAGGGTTCCTGTCGGGCAATGCCAGCTTCTTGCTCCACTACCTCCAGGTGGATTCAACAACTCATCCTTCAAGTCTATAAGATTTAAAGAAAAGGTTCCATCTTTCCATGTCAAGGCCCATTCTACTAGGTCAGTTAGTGCTACATGGGCTTTTCAGCATCAGACATCTGTTTCTCAGAGGTGCAAGTGTGCCACCTGGTCTTTTATTCGTTTTACCAGGTGGATGTTCAGATCTTATCTGATGCCAGCTTCGGTCATAAAGTTCTTCAGGCAGCTCTATAAGCTCTGTTGGTAACCTAGTGTTACTTGTGGGTCTGTTGGCATGCTCCTTGCTGTGTTGCCCAGCCCTCAGTTGCACTGATTTTTGTATGTCCCTAAGCACCTGAATTACTACCCTTAATATACAGTAAAGAACATAGGATTGTGGACTTTTTTTTATCTTTTGTGAATTGAGCGTATTATCTTATCATATAAAAGAATCTCCTTCTACTATTTATGGAGAGCATTTGTCATCTCCCCATAGGACACAGGAGCAGCCCAATTGTTGTATGTGATACTTGAAAGAGACAGCATTGCTTACTGTAATTAGGCTGTTTGTGGTCATTCCTAGTCAACAAAAACTGTTTGAAAGGGATAATCTAATTTGTAACTGTACACAGTCTATGGGAAAGAAGAATCTTCTATCGTACAATTTAAAAAATAAGGCCTAGGGTTGTGATGCTGGTGATTTCCCTGTTCTATCTCACAATATCACATCTGTCAGCAAGGCTGAGGGGTGCTTGAACCCTAATTGAATCTGTGCCAGAAAGTGTGCACAAATGCAACAGCATCATAAATATTATTTGTGTCCCAATGTCAGAGTAGATAAATTACTGTGTTATCTCTGCTGTATGAGAAAGTAGAACCAGCTGGATGCTGGTAGTCCTAGTAATAAGAGCGCAATGATAATTACTCACTATTGGATAAGAGGACAAGTGGTGCTTTGCTCCTGGTCACAGATTACTCCAAGTTGTTTCATTAATGTCCTTCCCAATGCCATGGTGTATTACCTACTTCATCTACAAAACAGGAGATACAAGCACACAATGTACTGCTGCACATCCATTGTATTACAAGCGTCCCCAGGCTGTTGAGTTTATTGCATTGTGTGGGCCTTCACATTGCGGAGGTTGTTTATTCAGTAATACAACTCACATTGCCACAGCTCTATTACAACACCTACGATTAAATATGTTTTTTTTAATTAAAATTATGTCATCTTTTCCAAACATTTCACAAATAAAGGCTGCTTGTAAAATATATATAAATCAAATAAGTCTGGCAAGACACCTTACAATAAAAGCAATGATGCTTAAAGAAAACCTGTGGATAATTTGCATTTTTAGAAAACATTGGTGAGCTTCAGATCCGTAAGCGTCACCTTTCTGTTTGTTATGGAGCATCGCAGGGGCACTACTGCTACGGCTCTCTAACATGAAAACAGCAATAAGCCAGCTTTGGTTTATCCTTCCGATCTCCTGTGCTTTGCTCTTTGTTAGTGAGGCTTCCAATCATAAAAGCACAATAATTGGAAGGGGGGTCACTATTTGCATATAGGTAGCTTTAGAAGAAATAGCTGCCTTGTATGTACCTACAGTTCACCAAGTGTCTCTCTACAAGTTTATCTAGAATACAGATCAGGGCAAGTTTGAAAGCATCTGTAAATAGGAACTGAGCTGGTAATGATGCCACAGGGTAGTGATAAAAGCTGTTTTCTCACTACAGTTTACACTACTTGTTTTGTCTGTTTTCAGGCCTGCACCAAAACTCCCACCCAAGTGTCCCACGGTCAGAGCCAGCCACATCCAGTGAGCGGACCGATGAGCCTGAAGTTTGCACTACGCTCTAATACAAGTTGGAGTCTGTTTACTAAGTCATCAGAACTTTTATATTCTTAAACTGTATTCTGAAAGGACTGAGCTGTTGCCTTTGGTGCTATGCTTTATGTGTGTGCTCAGGTACTTGTAAATTATTAATTTATGTGGAGTATTTAGTACAATGCAGTGCATTGGCCTAGGTATATTTAACCAAAGATGACTTTCCACAAAAGGGAAATATTTTTTATAGCGTGTACTACACTTGAAACACTTTACCGCTTCTATTAGACTGTATGGATTAAAAAAACTGTCATCTATTTTTAAAATATGTAAGTCGATCAGCACATTCATAACTGGAGGTTTCATCTGTAAAATCTGCAACTTTGTTCAATGCATTACATTTATTTACAGTGCATCTTATGTAATCAATAAGCCATCTGCTAAACATTTTGTATAACTGTTACAGTGTTTCAGCAGGGCTTCGGTTAGAGCCGAGAAGATAGCCTGTAGTTTTCCAGCAACTGGAGGACTACAAGTCTCAGCCCACCCTTATTGCCCTGTTGTATGCTAGTTGAGTATTAACCGGTGAGCTATAGGCTGCCTAATTTGTAACAACATAACTATAGGAGCTGCCATTGCTAACATGTAATTAAAGGTGCAGGTTTTGGGGTTGTCATCCCAATTATGGCTTCACTATCCAAAAGGTGCGGACCTGAAACAAGAATGTAGGACAGAAATACAGGCATTTCAGAATTCACTGGCTGCATGCTTGTTTTAGGGCAGTGACGTGAGGGTCAGGATGACAGGCCCCGGAGACTGAACCTTTACCAACAAGTCAGCAATGATGTCTCCTTGTGTGTGTGTGTGTGTGTGTGTGTGTGTGTGTGTGTGTGTTTTTAACTCTTCACAGCCCCTAACTCCTAACATTACAAAAGAAGGAAAAACAAGGTGAACTTTTAACTGCAAGAAGCATTTTTTAAATTTGTTTGTAGCTCAGAAATGGGAAGATGTAACAAATAGAAAATAGGGGTTATCCCAGTTTGGCTGCAAAGTCACCTTTGCACCAACAAAAATGAGTTTCATAGAGGTGCTGATACATCATTTAGACGTATGCTTTTTTTTTCCAATATATATTATTCTTCCTCAGTCAGGAGACTTTGGAGGAGTAGGCAGACCCAGAAGGGGAACACACCAAGTGAAGACGGGGATAAAGTATATTTACACTTTTGCAGTCAAATTTGAGAAAACCCCACTTTATATCTGGGATTAATTTCGGTCTGTGACTGCAAAGGACAAATTGTATCTGACTTCCTGTGCCTGTGATGCCCATTCAAGAAATGTGAGGAGTCACCGAGAAAGGAAAGCGCAGGCAGTATAAAAAAAACATCATGAGAAGGTGAACCCTTCCTCACTCTACTAAGTATGTGTTTTTGTTCTCATCTGTATCCCTATTAGAAAGTTTTCTCATCACTTCCTGTCCTGACACTATAACTCTAATCAGGGATACCTACACTTCCTGTGAGGGGAGTGTGTGCATTGCTGATTAGAATACAGTAGTTTTACCTGTCCAGGGGCACGTCGGAATGCTGCTCTTACACAGGGGGGGCTGCTGTGGGGTTTTACTGGCACTTATGTTGCTTTACAAAGAAATTAAAGGCGAGACAAGTTACTGATTGGTTGCTCCCAAAGTTGATATTTCCCCTTTAAGGGTACTTGGAGTTGGCCTTTAAATTAAATGTGTAATGAGAGGAATATGGTGGCTGCCATTGCTGACCTAAGAATGCTAGTTCCCTGGCTCTCTGTGTGTTCAGTTCCCTTCTGAGTAACTAAACTGGAACAAGTATGCCGGGAAGTTAGAACATTTGATATTCACAGGCTCCATATGTCCCCAGAAATTAACATTTCAGATGGACAGAGCAACATTGGCAGTCTTTGTATTCCCTCAGCGGTGTTTTAATCCTAAGGTTGCCATACACGTATTGATTTGTAATTGATCTAGGGGCCGAGGGATTACACACAAGAGACTCAATTAAAATGTTGAACAATGCAACACATACAGAATTGATTGAAAAAGTACAATTTATCAGATCTGATCTTTTGAAAACAATCATTGTATAGATCTGTATTACGATTGGTTGTCTGACACACATGTAGATATTTAGTCAGAACAGATCAATAAAATTCCACTACATCCGATTGGCTTGCCAGTGTCTGAATTGATCAAATGGAGGGTCTGTGGTTTACAATTCTTATTCAGTTCGATCGTGTAAGTTGCATTAAATAAGCAACTGAATGCTCAAATCAAGGCATGTGTGGTCACCTTAAGGGATAAATTGAAGGGTCAGTTAGATTGGAAAGGGCTATGTTGCAGGATTTCAGGCTATGTATGTGTTAGTAATTTAAGAGTTGGGCATCTTCTTCATTTGTTGTACGTTCTAAAACCTGACTGCTGAGAACTACCCGCTGCTGGTGATTTCCAATCATGAAAATATACATACTGATGTAAAGGTGCTATTATGATGGTGTTGTCAACCTCCCGCAATTTTTTTCCTTTTTAGTGTACTTAGCCAAACGTTAGTAAAAAGCCCTCCGCTTAAAGTTTATGTCCACCTTTGCAGTCAAATTTGAGAACTCCCCACTATATGGTTGTGTTCCCATTCACACAGCATACCAAAAAAGAAATGTAAAAAAAAAACAATATTTCTTACCTTTTTAGTTGGTTCAGAGGAACAGGATTATACATAGGATACTGCAGGCAGCATCTATTGCTTTTAAAAGATGGCAATGTGGATACAAGGGGCAGACTGGAAGGACAAGACTGAGAGACAGCGCATTAATATACAATGCTACTAGATCTTTAACCCTTTGTTGGGACAGACAGTGTGCACATCCACTTAACAGCTGATAATGAAATTTGCCAGCACAGTACATCATAGCAAACAGAACATCCTGGAGCCCTCCTTACAGGAGAAGTATTGGGAGAGCAAAATATACTCTTCCCAATACTTTGAGCCGGTGTTGGACACTGCATGTAACCGCTGATTGCTCAGTTCACAAATCTTCTCCCTGCAGAGAGCAGTCACCGCTCCCCGCAGGAATTCTCCCCTCCCCTCTCTCTGTTCTTCCAGCGCTCATTGCAGGGACAGACAGGGGAGGGGGCGGGCACAGCTGGTTCTGGGTCTGTCAAACAGGCAGTGGGGTGGATACCAACAATATTGTGAGGATCCTTCCTGGGCTTCAGCTCAGCTCTGCACGGTCAGCACACAGCAGGCCGCGGCCTGCTATATACTGACTTTGGGTCACAGGAGTACATTCGTATATATAATTCTGTGATCCGAAAGAAGAAGTAAAACCAAAAAGAGTTATGTGATGTTATGGAAATATGTAACAATATAAAATAGGTGTTCTCCCAATTGGCTGCCAAAGTGGAAATACACTTCAATTCTTGGTATACATTTTATTGCCCACATTCGTAATCTATACACATTCATACAATTAGCCTCATCATGATTTAATACAAAAACCACAAGTAGGTGCAGGACTTGATTGTGAAAAAAAGTTATCAAGAACTGCTTAAGGTAAAAACATGGATATCAAAGTACTCTGTACACAAAGGAACCGAGAAACACATACATTATCACTAATAAATAAGAAGTGGAATCCGGCGTATGTAATGAGCAAATATTTCTTCCACCGCATACATAGACAATTGGAAACTATACATACAATTTTTATAAACATAAAACCACACGGATTAGATTACTTTCATTACGTGGAACTTCTTTATAAAATAGGTGTTCTCCCAATTGGCTGCCAAAGTGGAAATACACTTCAATTCTTGGTATACATTTTATTGCCCACATTCGTAATCTATACACATTCATACAATTAGCCTCATCATGATTTAATACAAAAACCACAAGTAGGTGCAGGACTTGATTGTGAAAAAAAGTTATCAAGAACTGCTTAAGGTAAAAACATGGATATCAAAGTACTCTGTACACAAAGGAACCGAGAAACACATACATTATCACTAATAAATAAGAAGTGGAATCCGGCGTATGTAATGAGCAAATATTTCTTCCACCGCATACATAGACAATTGGAAACTATACATACAATTTTTATAAACATAAAACCACACGGATTAGATTACTTTCATTACGTGGAACTTCTTCACATATAAATCTTTAAAAAAAAAAAAAAAAGATACATTTCTCTTTAATACAACAACCTCAAGAAAAGAGCCATAGATATCAACAGCTGTTTATGTGCAAAAAGATAACAGACATGCGCTGACTATAAAACAGAAACTGCTACAGGCAAAAAAAAGAGCAAACTAACGTGCAAATTAGCTAAAAGCTCAACAATGATATCAACCCCATAAATCAGATATGAAGAAAAATAAATATCCAAAGAGGCATTTAACTGACCATACCAATGAAATAGTCTCAGAATACAGCGAAGGAAAAGCAATATGCATACAAACCCAGCAGACTATAATACAACATTTACATTGTCCGTTCATATGAAATCCAGTTGAGACGAATTGTATAAATTACAAGGTGCATATTATAAATGTGGACAATAGACTACACATGGTGCTTCATAAATCAGTCTTCTTTTTTACCTTCAATGTTGTATACAATAGAAATGTCTCCGCAAGCTGCAGAATTTTCTGGTCATCGAGCAAGTAAAGGTGATATCCTGGTATTACCAAAATGAAACTTCTAAGGCCAGAAATTTGGTACTACCATTTCCAATCTGTTTTTGTTCAAAATATTTGTATTAATTTCATTTTAGCAACAAAAACATAATACAAAGAAAAGAAATGGCTATGGATTCCCCATGTGACACCGTTAACTGGCCCATCACTGTCACATGCTGTGTCAAATACTTGAAAGTGCCAGAAGTTTATTTTGGCTCCCAGCGCTGAATGGAATGGTGGGGGAGCACAGGCTATGTAATCAGGGGCGTCCCGCGGCTTGGTGTCACCCA